ACAATTTTGATATATTCATATGATCAATTATTTTTACAATATACTTTTTAAAATATTTTGTAAAAATACTGTGACAATATTTCATAAATATAATGAAAAACATATTCTATTAGAATCACTCCGCAGTATAATTTTTTATTGTATAGTTTGAGAATATATTAATGAGAAAAAATACACAATGTTACACTAAAAATATTTTTAAAATGAGCATATAAACTATATTTTTAAATATTTACTTATAAATATTGTGCAAATATGTTATTAACTTTTAATTGTTATTAGTTATAATAATATCTAAGTATAATACTTATTTATTACATATAACTTAGTTCTAGATCACAAAAAAGTAAACTACCATTTTCTCGAATTAGTGTCAGTTTTAATTGACTTAATTCAATTAAGCTAAGCAAGTCAAGCACATCAAAAGCGCTTTTGTTGCTGTTATTCGCATACCGATCAAGCTAAGTTTTAGAGTTTTATCAACGTGATTAAATCTTATTATTATCTATAAAACGCAAAATCCTATAAAGGATTTTAACATTTTAAAATATATCTATGTATTATATTATATTATATTACCAATAACACAACTGAAAACACATTTTGATCTGTGATTTAATACTAAATTCTTATTACTTGTAGATCACATATGTAGAATAAAATTACCTTGATCAATTTGAACTTCAACAGTATTTAAATAACAAATTTAAACAAAATTTTAGTTTGATAATTGAAAAATATTAAAAATATTTTTTATTTTTAAATTATGATTACATATAAATTACACAGGATAACAAATAACAAAAAATGTGTTATTGTTTACAATTTTTATATGAGATTCATTCTGTATGGAATGTGAATGCTGATTTTGAATCTAATTTCATATTTTTTCTACTATAACTAGTTTTTGAGATAACTAATAATTGTTAATCAAGCTATTATGTCATTCTAAAATTGTCATAAGAATTATAATTATTATTATTGTTATTTATTTTTAAACTTTTTAAAGAGTTGTGCAAAATTTGGGACTGTTCTATGAAGTTTTACTGATTTTTTGGATCTTTTTAGTTGAGTTTAAGTATTCTTTTTCAAAAAAAAAAATGCTAAATTTTCTAGTATAACTTTTTTTTGTGGATTAATCTACAAATTTGAGTTCAATTGAAAATTATAAAATGTTACGCTAAATCTAATGAATATATTTTTTATCTTTTATTACATTTATCACCTACATTTTGAAAATAAAGTGCCTTAAGATTGCATTTGAAATATAGCAATAAAATTTTCCATGATAAAATATGATATAAAAAAAAATCTCTGTTAAAATTATGTTTTTTTTATATAATAGTATTATGCTTTTATTAGTTAATTTATATAATATAAACTAATATAATTTTATATAGCTCATTAATATATAAATATAATGATAAAGTAATAATAACCACATTTTTCATATAATTTCGAAAGAAAATTGGATGGTATAGTTTTAATTAACAAATATATCACAAATTTATGCTTCCATCATTTTCCAAACCCGTTATACTCCTTTAGTATAATTTTAAAGTGCTTTTTAATCAATTTTTGTTAATTGAAATTTTATTATTTTACACTTTGCCTATTAAAATATAAGTTTGATTTTAAACTTAAAGACGAATGTAAGTTCATAATTTATAGTTTATAATTACTCGGATTTCATTTGAATTTTATTTGTACTAGAAACTATAAGGTAATGATAAAATTATTTTGATGTGGACTATACTTACTTTGTATTAGAAGACGGCTACCTAAGCTGTATAAGTTTTCTATCAATACAACAAATTTTTACTGTATACGCATCGTGCGACATTTATTTGCCTACTGTTTTTCTCCGCGAAATAAAAATCGACCGTCTGTTTAATAAACGATAGAAATAAAAAAATAATATTCTACAGTACCGTACGCTGTAACAAATATATTAAAGTAAATCATTTTTTTTTAGTATAAAGACCATTTTTCCAGGTTGAACCTTTAACAATTAAGTTAATATATTGTTTACTGTGTATAATTGTTCATATTTTACTAACATGTTTTTAATTGAACCAAAATCACAGTCACAAAACATAAAACAGTGACCTATTTTTTAATATAAAATTTGAACTTAATTAAATCTCTTTTAAACTAAATTAATTAAAAACCGGAGATTGTGTTGTCTTGTCTGTACAATTGTTACAAAGAATGTAAAGGCATTCGATTTCTTCATCAGTATTGTTTTTGATGTAATTATAAAATATGTTGCTTCGTTAAGTATTTTACTAGTGTCTTTCGCATAATAAATCTACCATTGCATATATCCCTTGGTAAAGAATTATTATGAATACCAAAGTTACACAATGTAAGCTATCTATAATATTAAATATCTTTAGTCGGTGTTTAAGATAATGAAAATTTTCCTTATGATCGATATAAGTTAGTATTATTGTATTATTGTTAATTTTATTGTGACGCGGTTGTCGATGATTGATGACCGTTCGTCGTAATTAATACTTATTAATTACCGCGCACTTACGATACACATCCCGGAAACACTTCCATGTAGATTGATAACGTGGTATGCGCTTGAGAGAAATACAGCATCAAGTAAATTAATATTTACCATTATCATATGTTCACTACTGCAAGTTTGATGTGATTTCATGGTCATCTTATTATTTTATTTTTATATGTTTGTCGACTTTGGACAAACGACAAATAGCCAAGTACAAAAATAATTTCCATAATTAAATTAAATTATCCAAGAAGACACTTGCAAGTTATCAAACTCCAGTGATAAAATATTATTCTAAAATTAATTTTTGTTATTTTATTAAAAATAAACTTCATAACTTAATTTTGATTAACATATACGCCTTTGAATAAAAACTACTGATGCTATTAAATTAAAAAAAAAAAAAATTATCTTAAAACCAAACTTATTTTAATCTTAACAAATTAAAGTTAATCTAAATGTATGGTTAATATTATGACTTGATTAATATTTTGATAGATTATCGATTATAATAATTTATATTAATTACATATTGATAGAATAAATATGCATATGATACTCTGCACTGATATCAAGTTTAACAAGTTTTTGTATAGAGCGACTACGTAGAATTTACAAATATTTGCTGTTATATTCTACTGCAAATGGCAAATAAGCCGTGTTAAGATCTAAAATATGTTACATGAGTAGAGGCAGTTAATGACCCATTTATAATTAAGTTTTTGTTTATGATATGTAGTAGCTGATATAAAAGTTTTTCATGGGAACTTTTGACTGCTATTATCTAAAACAGCTCACAATTACCCTCGCAATATAAATTTTATACCTACAAACTTTTCATTTTATTTAGTCTAAGGCTCCTTTGATTACTTATGATAATTCATCATAACTAAAATAAAAGGTAGATTACATACATATCTTATTTGATTTTAAATTTTTGACGATTTAATTGGACCCAGCCTAAATAAATTGAAATATTATTTAGAAATTTTTAGGGAAAAAAATTTAAACTCAAAAAACGACAAACATTAAAAAAAAAAAAACGTAGGTACGTATTTTGGAAAAAATGTTACCATTATCAATGCTAAACCCATATTGACACCCCTGTATAATGTGTAGTATAGTTTCATCGTTCATATATTTTTTTATAATTTTTAAACATTGACTTTTTTATAATAAGTTAAGTAGGGCATTAATATATAAGTATGAATTATCTGAATTATCGAGGAAGAATCCCTCGGCAGCGATCCGAGGTAGGCTATGTTTGCAAATATTTTTGAAATGTGCACTATAGATTTTTTTACTTTAAAATACATTTTATATTATTCAACTTAAACACGTATGTATGTTTTCCTGTTATCCTTGACGAATAGGATATCAGTAAAGTGTTTTTTTTTAATTTTAGTACTTTTGTGTGTATGTGTATTTTGCCGTGACGTCGGAGTATACGACAACCCCTACCTACATAGCTATTAAATAATTCTAGAATATTTCTTTTTGATGTTAAAATGTTTCAAAATATAACCCGAATATTTAAAAATATTTTCACAATGTTCTCAGAATATACTTTAGCAGTGAATATTACAATCGCACAATATATTAAAAGAACTTTCCTAAGATATACAAAAATATTTTTACAGTAATTCCTGGATGTTTTATGAAAATAAATAATACATAGTTATTATATATAATACTGAAAAAGATATTTATTAATTTCATTATAGAAAATTTTTTAGTATAATATTCTGTATTTATTATATTTAATATATTATCAAAATATACATAAAAATTTATTTTTTGAGCATATTGTCGAAATATTCCAAAAAGAATATATTTGTTATTATTTTTATTACATATTGTCACTATTTTTGTTTCAAAATATTTTAAAAAGTACTTTGCAATATTAATATATTGAAACTGCTATATGGATTGTTGTTTGACGTTATCACTAAGTTATATTATTAAATTTTCCCAGCTTACAGAAGTTGAAAATTGTTATAAGTTGTTATATACAGTTGTTATATAGTTGTATATAAAGATGTTAAATTCTTATACGGATAATAGTAACCACTTGGTTTCTCTGTAAAAACAAAAGTTTATTCATTGTATATTATTTACATTATTTACACTATTTAAAAGATTACCTGTAAAAACAAAAGAAACAATAATTTATGTTAATTATTATCACTCTTTGCTTATTAACAATTTAAAAAAATAATTTGCTTAATTAACAATCTTAAAATTAAATCTTAATTTATTATTATCGAATCTTCAACATTTTATCATCTTATCAGTTCCATTTAGTGGGGTAAATAAAAGGCGTGCGAAGAAAGTATTTTCTTTGCATATATATATATACATGTTACAGCTTATTTTAATTAAAATTATCAAGTAAATATTTTGTACAACAATGTAATATGAAAAATTAAATTATTATTTGTAAAATCAATAAATATATAATGTGTAATAATATACGTACCGGTTGACAAAATCATAATTGAAAATTATTAATAGTATTTTCCCATAGTCTAATTTATCACCACTGTAGTGTACTTAATATTTATTGAAATGTTATCGAGCGAAATTAAAACATTATTGAAACGTGTTTATGGGAAAATTCATTACATTTAAATGAAGAGCAAGAATTTAAATCACTTTTGTAGGATATTGATGAATTTATCATATCAAAGGAGTAATTATGGTTTTTAATATATTTTCTTTTACTTTAGAGTTTTTTTTTATACATTTTCAATGCAAATTTATTTTACGTATTACGTGGCTGATCTTTTAATTATTGGGTAGTGTTAGACTTTGTTGACTATTCTACTAACTTTTAGTTAAATGCTAAAATCAACAATGTTAGTTTTATGGTGTAGTCTGTTATAGATAAAACAAAAAACAAATTTATATTTTTTGTTTGTCTATTTTATAAAAAAAATTGTGACGAATATTATTATTTCAAAACTAAAAAATATGTCCTATGTCGTATCCTAAACTTCGATTTTTTTTTTTGTTATATTATATAGGTAATCAAGATGATTTTTTAAGAGTTGATAAAAATTTATTTTTATTACTGTTGACAAACAAAAAATTTATATATTGTATTAATGGGATACTGGATTTAATAATTCATTTTTAACAAAAATAATATCTTTGAAAGGAGACATATCCCTCTAACTTACCAAATATTCTTTAGAAATAAAATTGTACGTTATAAAGTATCAGGTGTTAACTTTTCTTTGTAATAAAAAACGTGAAGAATCTTTAGTCAAACTTCAACAATAATATAAAACAGGAAGGAGTTACAACTCTTTTCCGTTCTCGATAAACCATGGTTGATCGAGTCCGAATTTTCAAAGTAAAAGTTTTTTATACGAAATAGAAATATACTGATATCAAATATCTGAAAATAAAATCTTACTCTATAGGTTTGAACCATCAAATGTATACACTGTAAACAAAATATCTAAAATCCAACTGTAAACGTTTATAACTTTCAAAATGAATTATCATATCATATTCCTACATTTAATTTTTTTTTTAAATAATTATTGCCTCCTTAGACTACGTTAAAAACATATTTTCTACTACTAATCACTAAAAAAAAAATTTAAAAAAATGTTTTCTCTTTTTCAAAATTTTGAAATATCCCTTTTTTTAGGTCTTTTCCCACAAACATTTTTGATGAATGATCAAGTAACAAGCATATTAATACATTGAGTGTGTGTAAAGCTCAGGCAGAGTTATGTATACTAATGTATTAAAATGTTTTTAACTTGATAGTTACTTGTTTTTAAATTGTTATCAATACATCATATTTTTGTTAAGAAAAAGGCTATTTTTTGATTAAAAAAAAAACAATTTTATTAGTGATAAATATTTAAAAAAAATGTTTTGATAACAATAATAATTTTTAAAACATTTTAACGGAATTATATTTGGATCAAAAGTTATTAGAATTGTTAGTGAGATCTAAGATACTTAACATGTGTCAAATTGATAATTGTTAACCATACATCATATCTTGAAGTAATAATCACCTAGTGTTCAATTTAATACAATAAACTAATATTCATTAAAGCACGAATGACAATAATATTTTTATACGGTACAATATAAGTCTGTATAACTATGTACATAACTAAAATTGATATAAAGGGCTTGTTTTTGTTCTCACTTTATCAAGGTTGTAATATAACCCAGATTTCAGTTTGGCTATTTCTTTTTGTTTGTTCTTTTTATAAAATAAAAAGTGCGTGTCAAATTTAAAATAGACAATCAGTAATTTAACAGACCAGCTGCTATTAACGAATTTCATCGAAATTAATTAATCACATTAAAATACAAAGTAAATGAATTTAGACTATCCAAATTATTAGCATTAATAATTTGTGTATAGTAAATGTTACAGCAAAAGATAATATATATATATATATATATATAT